TTAAAAAAACTACATGATTTTTAAGAAACTCAACGAAATTCTTCAAAAGAATTTAATTATTCACAAAAATTCTCATAAAATTGTTTAAAAGAATTTAACTTTTTATCAATAATTTTAATTAAATTTAATAGTAAAATTATTAATTAAATACAATTATTTTTCACATGAATTAAATTATTTTAAAAAAATTTAATAAAACTCCGCGAAGAATTTAATTATTTTCTAAAAATTTTAATAAAATTCAATAATTAAATGTTTAATTTCAATTATTAACAAACACAATTATTTGAAAAACTTGAAAGAAATCTTTCAAAAGAATTAAAAATTTTTCAAAAAAATTCTTCGCAAGATTTCAATTATTTTCATAAATAATAAAAATCTTCGAAGGAATTCAATTACTTTCAAATATTTTATCAAAATTCTTTGCAACAATTTAATGATTTTCTATGCCTTAATTTTAAAATTGATAAAATTGACAAATAATTGAAATTTAGTAAAATTATTTTAAAATAATTGAATTTTAGTAAAATTATATTTAAATATAATTGAATTTTTCACAAGAATTATTGGAAAATTTCAGAAAAAGAATCATTGATGAATTTTAATTACAACCATAAAAATAAACGATTTTTCCAAAATTTAAATTACAACTCTAAAAAAATGTTTAAAAAATTTAATTTTACATTTTCTGAAGATAATTGATTTTTAATCAAAAATCTATGATAGGAAAATTTAATTTCAAACAGTCTAAAATTTTCATTAGTTTTTAAAATTTCAACTGTAATTCATCTAAAATTTAATTATTTTTCAGATTTTCTAACAAAAATTACTCAAAAGTTATTTTAAATTCATTTTTAAAAAAATTTTGATTATTTTGAAATTATTTTGAATTTGTGATAAAAAGTTTCAAGCAATTACTAATAGAAAACTAATTTGTAAAAAATATTTGAATCAACATTTTTCAAAGAAATAAGTTGTTTAGAAATTTTAATGAAAGTTATTCAAAATTCATATCTTCAAAAATTTTAATTTGAAACCTTTTGAAATTTTACTATTTCTAAAAATTTGTACATACTACAATATTGTCAATATTCAATTATTTTCTCGAATTTTTAACTCAAATTTATTTCTAATTCAATTATTTTTAATACCTTTTAGAGAATTGAATTCTTTAAAAAAAGAAGAAAAAAATTCACTTAAAATACAATTTCAAATTCAATTGTTTTCAATTCAATTTTATAAAATTTCGATTATTTGAAAATTGTTTAATTAATTATATTTTTCAAAATTCAACTACTTTCTAGAAAATTCCAATCAAAATATTTTGAAAAAAGGAATTGTTCAAAATTTTGATATTTAATTGTGTCCAAAAAATTACTATTACAACTCTTCTAAAATTCAATTTTCAGAATTCTTAATTAAAATTGTTCTCTAAAAGCAATTATTTAAAATAGTTTGCCGACGACTTTGTTGTTAAAATTAAAGTTTAATTCAATTCTTAAAATTCATAAATCCAATTTTTTTAATAAGAATTTCAACTATAAGTCTCCATGGTTTTTTTATTTTAGTTTTTAAGTTGAAAAAATTAATTCAATAACAGTTTAAGATTTCCAATATTTTCAAAATTTACCAAAAAGTAGAATTTTTTGCAAAGAAATGTAATAAACTTTGGATGAAAAAATTTGACTATATACTGTTATTTTTTACACTTTGAAAATCAAAATAAATCAAATTTTATATAAAAATGTGGTTTTTTTGCGATATTTGGAAGAAAAGTCAAAATAGTCACATTTTTCGAAAATAAGTCGAAAAAAGCGCATTTTTCGACAATAGTCGAAAAAGTCATATTATCCGATATTGAAAAATAATTTTAGCAAGTTTTTTACTTTTTTACATATTTGGAAACAAAACAAAAACAAAAAGAAAATATAAAAAGAAAATGAAAAATAATAAACAAAATGAATTCCAAGCACAGAAAGTGTATCACGAAAGAATTTCCAAGATTTTTCTTTCAACATTTGCTTTGGTATGCAGTTAATTAATTCATATCAAAAGAAATGTATGTGACAAATTTTGATTTACACAAGAAAGATTGCGAGACGATGAGCTCTCGTTTCTCCGGATTAACTCATCTCTCATTTGACATGCTATTTACTTTATCCCCCACGATTACCCTAATTAATATCATCATCATCTTATTTTTTATTAAACGATCGTCTCATCGTCTTAATGACTCAACAAATTACCTTCAACTTTAACTGACATTATTATCATGTGAAATGTTAACAAAAACATGCATATAATCCGATCTCATTGTTTCTTCTCCAATGTAATGTGTTTGACTTAGAGTCAGGCCATGGCCTCTTTTTACCCCTAAATGTTAATCCAACGCAACGGCCCAAGTTTCCAGTGAGTACAACAATTTCTACTCCTACTTTTGCAGTGAAACTTACTCGCGACGCGACGGTTTAATTTTAACTCGCAGTTTATCATTTCGGCACGCACGACTCAATTGTTACAGTTAGAGTTTTGCCTTCTACCTTCTGTTTACACACATGTTTCAATGATGAGAAGTAAATTTTCATGATCTCCCCCAACAATCATTTCAGGAAATTTCATTATCACTTCTGCGATGAATATTTTTCTTTTTCAAACTCTGTTTATATATTCACGATCGGTGTGAGCAATAACAGAAAGAAATGAGAATTATGTGTCAAACTTTGGATGACGGCAATCGGTAATAATAATGTCATCACCATTAGTCGATGACAACATTATTTTGTTCTGGTTTGCAAGTCAGGAAATCGTCTCAAGTTCGTCATGAAGGAACGCGCGCGCGGTAACGTGCTTTTTTTCAATTTCAATTTTCAACTGGGGAATGAACGACCTTGTTTGCTGCATCTTCTTACCAAGCTCCAATTTCTGCAAAAAGAGCTCATTTTTAGAACACCTCAACTAATTAAAAAAAAATCCACATTCTAGACAATGTAATTTCTTTGAGAATGAAATATCTATAATCTATATTAATAATCATTGTATTCCGGAAATCTATTCGCACTTTGAAATTAGTTGTTGTTTGCTTTTTCTTTTCTACTTTTTTTGATAACTGTTTTCAAATACAAATATTTTTTTCATTATTTCCAATATTATTTCTCTTACAATTCTGAATCTAAAATAATTAAATTCTTATAAAAAAATTTATTCAAATTTTTTAAAATAATTAAATTCCTCACTAAAAATTTAATTAAAATCTTTAAAAACAAATTAATTCTTACCAGAAATTTAATTAATATTTTTAAAAATAATTGGATTTTTTCGAGAAACTTTATTTAAATTCTATTAAAAATAATAATTGAATTCTTTCAAGAAATTTTATTAAAAATTAAATAAAAAATAATTAAAATAATTACTAAAATCTTTTAAAGAATTTCTTTCAAGATTTTAAAATGGTTGTGCTTTTTAATATTTTTAATTAAAAATTTCATTATTAAATTTTATTACAATTTTTGGGAAATAATTGAAATCTCTGAATTTAATTTTACAAACATTTTTCATAATAATTGAATTTTAGCCAACAATTTTATTATTTAGGAAAAGAATAAAATTTTTTAAAATTATAAACTCTTTGCGAAGAATTTTATTAAAATTCTTTAAAATAATTAAATTCCTGTGAAAAATTTTATAAATTCCTGAAAATATTTAAAATCTTGGTAAGGATTTCAATAAAACTTTCTAAAATAATTCAAATTATGCCTTAAATTTAATTTAAAATATTCTACTGAAAATATTTCAATTCTCATAAAGAATTTAAGGTCATGTTATTCAGTGGTCACGTGTTCCCATAGTAAAGTATATGGGGCACGTGACCACTGAATAACATGACCTTAATCAAAATTTTTCAAAATAATTAAATTTCTGTTAAGAATTTTATAAATTATGAAAATAATTGAAATCTTGCCAAGAATTTTATTACAATTTTCAAAAATAATTGAATTTCTTCGAGGAATTTAATTCTTTTGAGAAATTTTATTGAAAATAATTAAATCCCTGCGAAAAGTTTTATTAAAGTTTTTGAAAACAGTACCTAAATAATTACAATTAATTAGTAAATTAGTTAATAATCGAATTTTTCAGAATTTTGAATCTGAAATTATTCTAAAATTGAAATTAATATTTGAAAATGCAAAATTTTTTTAATTTGCATAATAATATAAAATATAGTATAAACGTTGAGGGGTGTCCAATAAAAAAATTCCTTTTCATAATCAAATTTAGAATTTTAAATACAATTCCTGATTTAATACTTAAAAAAAATATTAACCAAATTGTCCTTGGTGATAAATAATATTTTTCGGGTAATAAAAAAGAATTTAGTATCATTTTTACGATTCTAATTCAGTATTAGAGAATTGCTTAGTGCAATTGAAGTAATAAAGAAGAGACAGCAAACTTAATGATGACAAAGAACCCAGAGAGAATAGTAACGACCTAGTAACGAATCTCGAACCAAAAAATATAAATTGTCATCGAATCGTAACTAACGAAACTTTTAATTTCTTCAACGTAGGTGAAAGAAATAATCGTGCGAAAGAAGTTTTCCAATTAGCAAAATTCTGTTAAGAGCTTTTTTCCAATTTTAAAGCTACTTTTCTATATTAAAATAAAAAAAAAAGGAATAAAATGTAAAAATATTTCCTACTTTGTTTCTCCTTATCAACTGCAACTGAAGCAATAAAAAACACTTCAATATAATTAGCTAATTATTAAAAATTATTTCAATAATTAAGTAAATAAACAAATAAATAAATAGATAATAAAATTGGAGAAATTCAACCGATAGATTTATAACGTAATAAACAGATTTTGAAAGATAAACAATTAGATTGAATAGATAAGGAAATTTATATTAAAGATAAATTCAGTTTGATAGATAAATAAATTTGAAGTTACCTTTACGAAACGCATAATTTATTATAAATGGAATGCAGAAAGTTACTCACTCGTTTAGCGTTCTGCATAAAGTGCTTCGTAAGTTTTCTGAGTGTAAATGTTGTCTTATCATTTTCAATGGCAGTCTTACGTCAACCAATAAAAGATGCCTCGTCGAGACAGGAAAATAGCGACGAGAAGTTCACATCAGGAAACTCCAAGGGCGAAATTTTACCCACCGACAAAGGAGACCTGGAATATGTCAATTTATTTAAAGTCACACGAAATCGTTACGAGGATCCACGTAAGTTTTTCAAACAGTAAAAAAAATAATAAAGTAATAAAAAAATAGTAATACAATCCCTCTTCTACGAGAAAGCAAAAAAGAAATAATAAAAAAAAGAACAAAGAAGAATATTTTCTTATCCTTTCTCTAACCTTCTTCTTCAAATTAATTTTCTCTATCCATTTTCTTTAATTTCTTCTTTCAGCCGATGAATATTCAGCTCATAAAAGACATCACAGTGGACACTTCCGGCATAAAAGCGCAAAAGTTTGGGATCCACATCCTCAATACGAATTCACAGCTTTCGGGCGACATTTTCACTTGCTCCTCTCTCTTGATTCCAGTTTCGTTTTTCCAGGTTTGAAGGTAACATCCTAAATTAACAAAAAGAAAAATTGTTCTTAAAAAATTCTTTTAAAATTTATCTATAAAATAAAAATTCGAAATTATGTTTCAACGCCGAAATCATACAGGTAATAATTTCTAATTAAAAAATTTCTCAATTTAAGATAACGCACATTAGAAAAAATACCAGCAAGTGGGAACACGCGGGTCAACATCTGGATTGTTTTTACAGAGGAGAAGTGGATGGCGATCCAAATTCTATTGTAGCAGTTAATTTATGCGGTGGAATGGTAAATAGTTAACAAATACAAATAGAAAAATAGAAGAAGAAAATAAAAAAGTAGATAAATAGAATTTTTAGTATTTTCCCCTCAGAATTATTTTCGAATTCTCTACATTTTAATTAAAACTTAAAAAAGAACAATTCGAATAAATTAAACTGTTCCCATTTTAACGAAACGAATTATCAGAAGAAGTTAAATCAACCAGGAAATTGGCTGCAATTCAGAAAATACATTTCCTCTCAAAGGAAACAGTAGTTAGGGATATTGCGAATAGTACTTAGAATTAACGAAGTTTTCCAGGGAAAGATCTATAATTCTCAAAGAAATACGAACCAAACTGTCTGGCGTAGTCGCAGTTACAAATTTACTAAAAGAGAGAGAAGAAAAAAAAACATTTCCAGAAAATTTGATAACTGCTTCTTCATTCGTTACAGAAAAAGTAAAAGTAAAAAAAAAGTTCTATTTTCAGTGTGTAGACTGAAGAGAAATAAAAACACATTTATTTTTCTCGCATTTCAAGTACGCGTGGTTCTGTATTTCGCAAAATGCTTATTTTTGCAGAAAGTTAAATATTCCTTTTTAGAATTCGCTGAAATCTTCTATCACAAATTCATTAAATTTTATTTTGCAAAATTGATTTAACAAATAGATTTTATTGATTCTGGACTCGGGAATAATCTCTAAGGAGAATTTTGTTGTCTAGGAAGGAACATTTTTATAATTAGCAGAAAATATCTCATTCTCCACTGTAACTGTAATTTTCAAAAATTTTAATTTAATTTTCAGTTAATTTCAATTTTTTTCAATTTTTAGTTTGAAACTTTTTTAAAGAGTTTTAAAGTTCCTTTAAAATTTAATTATTTAAAGGGAAAAAAATTCATCAAAAAATTTTAAAAAAACTATCAAAATTTAAGTTATAACTCTACTTTTTTTAATTACATCAATTTTATTGGATTTGAAGTAAATAGCAGTAAAAATTAGTGAAATTTACTTTGGACTTACTAAATTTTAATACAAAAATAGTAAAATTTACAATTAAAAATTTTGAATCAAAATTGTAAAAACAATCTAACTTTTTTTAAATTCCCTGAATTTTAATGTATCCAAAATAAATAGCAGTAAAAATTAGTAAACTTTACTTTAGACTTATTAAATTTTACTACAAATATCAAAATTTTTCAAAATAATTGAATTTCTGCAAAGAATTTGATAAAATTTAAAAAATAATTGAAATCTTGCCAAGAATTTTTTTACAATTTTCAAAGATAATTGAATTTGGTCGAGGAAATTAATTAAAATTTTTTAAAATTTTAAATCTGCAATTCCAAAATTGAAATTAATCATTGAAAATAAAATAATTGACTTACTAAATTTTATTACAAAAATAGTAAAATTGACTAATAATTTAATAATTTTTTTTTTTAAAATAAAATTTTAATTATAACACTACTTTTTTTAAATTTCCATAAATTTTACTGTATCTAAAGTAAACAGCAGTAAAAATTAGTAAAATTTACTTTAAACTTACTAAAATTTACTCCAAAAAATATTAAGAAGTACTATTAAGAGTTTTTATTTCCAGAATAATTTTTACTTCCTATTTCCGGAGAAAAAATTCTTTAAAAAAATTAGAAAACTTTACCTTAAAAGTTGTAAAATTCACTTAGTAAATAATAATTTTAAATAGCTAATTGTACTACATTCAAGAGAAATTTGAAAAATTTTTATACAAAAATTAATTTTAGAAGTGGTAAAATTTACATTTAAAAATCTCTATTTTCAGAGTAAATTTTATTATACTCAAAGTAAGTTTTACTAAAAATTATAAAAATATATATTCAATTTAGTAAAATTCATTCTAAAAATAGTAAAAGTTGACAAAACTTCTAAATAGTTACTGTTTTACTTTGTAAATAGTAAAAGTTACTTCATATAAAACATTTTGGATAAAAAAAATTTCTAAGAGGAAAAAAATGGATAAAAAAATTACCAAGTTTAAAAACTCTATGAAAACGAAAAGTCTCATTTTGTTTAACAAATATATCTTTCTTCGAAAATAGAGAAAAGTAAAAAATCCTAGATTCTAAGGATTGCTTTCCGCAAAGCAAAACTTTACTAAGAAAGAGATAATTAAGAAATTCTAAAAAATGTAGAAAAGCCCTTTTCCATTAAAAATAAAGAGTCGTCAGTCACTTATATTTCTTTTCTCATCAGGACGACAGAATCATTCAACTATTTTTTCATTTAAATTAAACAAATCATGCAGAACGTGTATCGTAAATATTCACAATTTCCGTTACAGACAGGACACATGACAACGTCAACAGGAAGTTACCTCATTAAGCCAACGAAGCATTGGACTGACGATGAGGATACATCCACCGAATCATCACTGCAGCATGCGATTTACAGGACTCCATCCGCCGATTTGACTCTTACGAATGACCTGCCAAGAAACCACGAGTGTGGTGTCATCGGTACGGTATATATCACTTTTGTGGTTCACTCTCTAGCCACGGAAATTATCCTTCACTCCTTCTCTCTTTCTCTCTCATTCTTCTTATTGACAAAGACTAATTCACCTTCATTGCCATTTTCATATTCCACTCGTGGATCCTGTAAAAAAAAGGAAAATATTTTATAATTGTAAATGTCGGAAATTTATTCCTAAAGAAGAAAAAAAATCTCGCTATAAAAGAAGTTGATGAATCATCAGAACTTTTGTTTTCACGATTATTACTTTGTTATTTTTTTTTTTTTTTGACTTTTTTTAATTCTTGTGGTTCCCGTGAATTTTTTTTAACGAAAGAAGAAAAAATTGATGAGTCTCAGAGAGAATCATGAGTTAATTTAGATAATTGCCATAATGGACACGGGACAGCACTCATATCGTTTCAAAAAGGATCAGACGATTCATTCTCTATTTATTCGCATTTTGATTAATTGGTCAAGATTTCTGCATTTTATTTCAGTTTCTTTCTTGTTTGCGTAATGTTCAATCAGAAAGGATTTTGAACTATTAATTAATAATTACAAAATTTAATTAATATACAAAAGAATAAAAATCTCCTACTATTTCGCAACGGAAAAAATTCGAATCTAAGAAGCGGAATTACAATAAATTCCACTAGATTTTAATTTACAATCAATAATTTCTCATTTGATGGGCAATTTTAAAGAAATATTGAAATTATACGTTTAGCGTTTATATTAACCTGAAGAAATCATAAGGTTTGCCAAGTTTATTACTACCATTTGCTTTAATTAGGGAGGGAACGTTAATAACTTCTCTTCTTTTATTTTCTTTTTTTTTGAAATTCATAAAGCTCAACATCTGTTCGGGATTAATTAACATTCCCCTAACATTATTATTGATTTCCATTAAGCATATTTAGAATTGCGTCATTGATTTTCACTCGACCTCGACTTGCATTCTTTCTTAAATAACGGAGGTCGAAAGGAAACGTCCATGTAGGTCTATATTAATGTTCAATCGTATGAGTGCTCAATCGAACACCTGTACAGTAAATACAAGGGAGATAAACAGGTGGTTTTACAGACGTGCAGACTCTTACGTCATTCTCAGCCTCCGGCCAATTTCGGGTCCAGTCCACGACGAGAACTTGAACAATGTTTCCCCTCAAGGTGTATCATCTCTCCGAGACAGGTTGGCGTCTTCCGGGGATTTAACATTCCAATCTTCATTTCACTCCCCTCTTTTTATCTCTCTTTCTTCTTGTATCAAATTTAAATTTTTTTATTCACTTTCTTCTTCTCTGAAATCAAATTACACATCTTTCAACAATTTCTCCTCTAAGTCTTGTTATATTTTGCTAAACATCTAAAAATACTAATTTTTTCCATGTTCTTTTTCTACAACTTTCCATAAGAAATAAAATCTCTTTTTTTATTTCCAGGAGCAAAGAGTAAATTTTCATTTTATGTTCTTCCTTATTTTTATTGTCCCCTCCCGCTTTATCTTCGACTTCCATCTACATGTGTTCAATTAATAAATAACAATAATAATATTATTCCATGTATGAAACGTAATTTTAATGATTAATTACGTGGATTCACGTTCTACAGAGATGTACAAGTTGATAAAGTGAATCAGACTTGAAAAATAAAATATGAATGTGAAAAATAATATATGAAAAATTATCATTATTGTAGATAAACAATCTTGATACGTGGGGAATAATTATTATAATGATTTTTTAAAGACATTCTTTTGCAGAATATGCGAGCCTTGATGAATTTTTATTTTTTATAGCTCTAGAAGACTAAAGGTCCCGAAAACTTTTAATTGAACCACTCTTGGAATTCACACTTTTATTATCGGGATACTTCATCATTATCCCTTTGATCAAAATCATTAAAAAAAAAATAATTTGAATCGAAATTTTTTTTTAAACTTTAATCTCTGTAATTTGATGAAAAAAAATGTTTTAAATCTTTTTTTGAAAATACTTTTTGTTATTATAATTTAAGACTAATAAATAATTTTATCGTAATGAATAATTTTAATTTTCGATTTACATAATTCACCACTATCGAAAAATATAAAATTATTGAAAATCTTAAATAGTCTATGAATTTCCTTTCTCAAATTAAAAAAAATCCATAAGTTGAATTATAGTTGGAATTTTTAAAAATAATCAATTATTTATTTTTTTATTTAAATAATTAAATTCGCATACAATTCTTCGAAGGAATTCAATTATATTCAAAAATTGTAATAAAATTCTTATAAAAAAATCAATTATTTTTTTAAATTACAATAAAATCCTTCGCAATAATTCAATTATTTTCAAAATTGAATAAAATTCTTCGAAATAATTCAATTAATTTCAAAAATAATAAAAATTCTTCGCATGATTTCAATTATTTTTAATACAATATTTAATAAATTCCACGAAAAGTGCAATTATTCTGATAATTTTTTTTTTAAATTCATCAAAAGAATTTATAGTTATTTTCAAAAATGTTCATAAAATTTTTTATAAAAATTTAATTTTAACAAATAATCAATTATTCAATTAATTATTTTTTTTGTATTTAAATAATTGAATTCTCGTAGAACTTCTAAAAAGAATTGATTTCAAACGATTTTATATTGAAAGTATTTTTAAATTTTAATTCTTACTGGACAAACAATTATGACAATAAGTATTCAAATATTTATTAAACAAAAATTAATCAAACTTGAAAAATTTTATTTAAAATTTTATTTCAGTTTTTAAAAAATCGGAATTAAAATTTTTTGAAAATATTTGAATTCCTGAAAATAATTTTTAAAAAATAAAAAAAAACAAGAAATTTTCTCAAAATTCATTAAAATAAATTTTATATTTCGAAGAATTTTATTGTCTCACTTTGAAAAATTATTTTGAAACAATATTATATTTTTTGAAAAATTTTAACTAAAAATTTGTAAAATAATTAAATTTTACAAACATTTCTGAATTTAAGTAATTCAATTTATCCTTGAAAATAATAAGAATTGATTTACAAAAAAATTTTAAAAAGAAGTGAAAATTTTGAAAAATAATTGAATAATAGAAGAAATTAAAAAAAATATTGTAAATTATTAAATTTTTGAACAATTTTATAAATATACTAAATAATAATTGACTTTTGGTAAAATTTCAGTTGTAATTTCGAGAAATAATTAAATTTCAAAAGCTTTTACATTGAAATTTTATGAAATTCCAATTAAAATAAATAATAAGTTTTTAAATATTATTTGATTAACAAAAATGATTGAAGTTTTGAATAATTTAATGCAGAAATTCTGAAAAAAATTTGGTTTTTGAAGAATTGTAATTAAAATGGTTTTGAAGATAATTGAATTCCCGAAAATAATTTAAAAAATTGAAACAATTAACATTTTTGTCAAATTTCATTGAAATAAATTTTACCTGAAAGAAAATTTAATTGTTTTAAATAATTTTCTCTTTAAAAATTATTTTGAAATATAATCGTATTTTTGAAGAATTATATTTGTAAAAATTATATTATTTAAAAAAAATTCCACACGCGCTTGAAATTAAATTAAATTGTAACCGTAAATTGTAATCGTAATTGTAGAGTAAATTAAATTGTTATAAATCTTTAGAAAAGTGTAATTGAGTTTGAAAACGTGCGAGATAAAAAGTTGATGAGAGCAGTAAAAAAGGAGAAATTGAAAAGATCGTTAATCTTGTCTAGCTCGAAGAAGCAAAAATTCTAATCCTAATCAAGAGAGAAAGATTTATCTTTCCAGAAGCGTTAAATTGGTAACATGGAAGACTAGTCAATGAGATAAAAAAGAGGACATACTGACCTACTGTCTAAGGACGTCTAGTTCTGCCTCATTTCTGTCAAAACAAGATTAAACTTAATAACCTGAATGTCGTGTGGCAAAATCGTTTTTTAATTGAAAATAGAAAAAATAATATTCCCACTTTGTGTAGAGAAAAAAAATAGTTACAGAATTTCTTTGTAAGTAATTTTTTTTTCTCGATAATTTTTTCTCTCATAAATAATCTTTTGCATTTAAAAGACCTTGGCATTCTAAAAATCTTAAAATTTGAATATAAAGTGTCTCGCACATTCCAATGGCGAAGACATGAAGATATTTAAATTTAAATCCTTAAATCCCCAATGTATGTAAACTAACGAGCTCGGAATAAGAAATTCAAAAAAATATCCTTAACTTTCCATCCTTTACTTTCTGATCTTGTACAACGTTTCATATTCTCAATTAAAATTTCTATTTATTGTAAATATATTCCTAAAAAAATCTCAGTAAAATTTAATTTATGTTTCTGTAAATTTTTACGTTTCTAATTTTCTTCTTCTAACTAAATTCAATTTGCATTAAAATGTTTCATAAATTGAAAATAAGACCTCACTTGAAATTTTTTCGGTCAATTATAGATTACGCAGAAAACAATCCACTTGTTTCTTTCGATGACAGTTCTAAAAGGAGAGTGTACATTGAAGAAGACCAACATCGAAGGCGGAAACGTCGTCAATTATGGAAGAACACGTCCCCTGATGATTTTGAAAAGCAGGACACTCCCATCCGGAATCAAAGTCGGTAGGAAGAAAATCAACTTTTTATTACCCCGCTTGTAAATAATATCATTATATTCTTGGTATTTGAAATTTTTGCAATCTAGAACGCGTGTGTTGTAGCAAAACATCGTCCGAGTAAACTAATTGGATCGTAAGATAAAGTGAAATACTTTTTTTTTTGTTTGTCATTTTTGTTGTTACATACCTATAGAGTGAGTATTTTAAACGAGTTTCACTTTGTCCACAAGCTCTCAAGAAATTGGTTTTGTTGCAGATACGAATTGATGGGGCGAAGTAAAATTTATCCGAGCGAAAATGATCGTAACTGGAGTCACCAGTCATCGGTGGAGGCTGATTTTGATAATTATGGTGGCTGGAGAACACGCAGGGCCATTTCACGAGAATATTTCGTTGAAGTTCTAATTGTCGCTGATTCCATGATGTCCGAATATCATGGAGATGGCCTTATCAGTTACATTCTTGTCCTCATGAACACGGTGAGATGTCTGAAATAATAATATTAATAATTATTAACATTAAATTAAATTAAATTAAATAAATATTAAGAATAATAATACTAAAAAATACTAATAATAATGAGAATAATATTAATAATTATTAAGGCTAAATTAAATTAATATTAAGAATAATAATACTAAAAAATATAAATAATAATGATGATAATAATAAGCCTTGGATCGACTTTAAGGCGCAAAAAAAATACAAAAAAAATTCGAAAAAGTCGTTTACTCTATTCAGTGCCGTCATAAAAATTTAATTTTATATTTCCTAGACCTAAACAATTCTCTAAACCTAAATAAAATAAACCTGAATTTTACAGGTTTTTAAATTGAATTATTGAAAAATTCAACAATATTGTTAAATAAATGTTTAAATTCTTGTTATTTATTTTTCCACGAGAATTGAAATTTTTTAAATTTCAATTACAAATCTTTTGAAATTTAATAATTTTCAAAAATTACAACTGTAATTCTATCAAAATACAATTGTTTTCTATAATTTACAACTAAACCTTTTCTCTAAATCAACTATTTTTAATAAATTCTGAAAGTTCTTCGAGAACTCAAAAACTTAAAAAAAAAATTATGATAAAAATATTTTAAAAATTAGTTTTTTAAATATAAATGCAATTTTTCTGAAAATAATTAAATTCTTTTTTTTAAAAAGATTTTTGTACAATTTAAAAAATTAATTTTTTCAAAGAATTTTAATTAAAAATTTTGAAACTGATTGATTTCTGGAAAATTTTAATAACAATTCTAAAATAAAATAAGTGTTTCTAAAATTATTAATTTAATTATTTTAAGTAGATATTTGAGTTTTTTAAATTTTTTAAATATCTAATTGAATTTTAAACAATTATAACGAAAATCATTCTAAGAAATAGTTTTTTTAATACATATTCAGATATAAAATTTTGAAGTTAATTTTAATGATTTTCCTTTTCAAATATTTATTTGAATAGGTACTTTTTATTACAATTTTTAAGAATGACATTATTTTTCTAATTTTCCTATTCAAATTTACATTAAAATTTTTGAAAATTCAAATTTTTTCATTAATTTTTTTTTTGAAATTCTAATTGGAAAGTTTTACATTAAAATTTTTAAAAATTGAATTAAATTCAGTAATTTTCTTTTTGAAATTTTCATTTGAAGATTTTTCATTAAAATTTTTGAAAATTGAATTCTAATCATTAATTTTCTTTTGAAGATTGTTTATTACAATTTTTGAAAATTCAATTATTTTTACTAATTTTCTGTTTCAAATTTTTATTTCAAGATTTTTTCATCAACACTTTTGAAAATTTAATTATTTTCACTAATTTTCGTTTTCAAATTTCCATTTGAAGATTTTTTATTAAAATTTTTGAAAATTCAATTCTTATCATTAATTTTCTTTTTCAAATTTAAAATTGAAGGTTTTTCATTAAACTTTTTGAAAACTCAATTGTTTTTGCTAATTTTCTTTTTCAAATTTCTATTAAAATTTTTAAAAATTCAATTATTTTCACTAATTTTCTTTTTGCTATTTTTCTTTGAGGGTTTTTCATTGAAATTTTTGAAATTTTAAGTATTTTCACTAAATTTCGTTTTCAAATATCCGTTTGAATATTTTTCATTAAACTTTTTAAAAATTCTATTATTTTCACTAATTTTTGTTTAAATATTTTTATTTAAAGATTTTTCATTAAAATCTTCTTTTTCAAATTTTTATTTGAAGATTTTTCATTTAAATTCTTGAAAAATCGTTAATTTAAAAAATTTTCAATTAAAATTCTTGAAAATTTAGTTTTCAAAAATGAAATAATTTTAAAAAATCAATCATTTTCAATAGTGTTTTGCAAATTTTAATTATTGCTGAATGATTTGACCTTAGTTATTTTTCACACTATAAAAATCAAAATAATTTGCATTTTGTACCAAAAAAAGTGGTATTTTTTGCAATACTTGAAAGAAAAATCGAAAAAAAATTAGCCTTTTTTGAAGATAGTCGAAAAAGTTCAAAAAGTCATAGAATCCGAGACTTGTAGTTATAATAATAACGACAATAGTAAAAATAGTAAAATTATAATAAAACTATAATAAAATTCTAATAAAAAATCGGAAAAAAATTTTAAAAATTTCTATTAACAGTAATTTGATGATAAAATCGCTTCGATTTTCAAGAACAAAATACTTTTTGGCAGAATCGCAAACCTTCAAAACAAGTGTTGATATTAATTTCAAAGTTTAATAAATACTCGAAGAAATTTAAAGATTCAATATAGATCGAAGCAACACTTGTCAGAAGAGTTCTCTATTGATTTGCCTCTTCGAAGGATGCTGTCTAATCCAATCCATCAAAATCACGTCTTATTTTATAGTTCTATTACGAGATTTCTAAATTAGCAAGTCATGAATTTCATATCTGAATATAGCAGAATACAGATATCAAGTTATAAATTTAGCCGATCATGTTCAGTGATTGCTATCATCTTCCATGGATAATTTTTGTTTATTCTCGTAAATTGATGTCCTTTATAATAAATATTCTTTTTTTCATCTCTTCTCAATTACCTTGAACTTTATTTTTGTGATATTTTGGTTGACGTTTTTTTTAAATATTAAATTTTTTAAATACAGTTGATTTTTGTTTTTAAATATAGTCGATTTTCTAAATTTGCGTATTCTTAATTTCAATTTTTTTTTTGTTTTTGAAGGTAACTCGTATTTACAAGGATCCATCGATTGGGAATCCAGTAAGTATTGCAGTGGTGAAAATAATCAACACTGACGAGGTGTTTTTTACAAAAAAACGTGACGCCGATGGAATTTCTGCATCGGAAATGCTGAAAAAATTTTGCTCTTGGCAGAAGCGTAACAATCCTGATGAGCCATCAGGAGAACATCATGATATCGCAGTTCTTCTGACAAGGTTTCCTTTGGCGATTTTTTCCAACTCGTTTAAAAAAAGATTCTTTATATCTAAAAAGCTTCTGTAGTGTCAAGTTTATTATTCTTGATGCTTTTTGTTTTCTTTTCTGTTCCTTAACATCGTGACTTGTGATTCTCGTTCAAAGATCTCGTTTTAAAGGAAGCTTATTAATTTGCAGGGAGAATTTGTGCCACAATATTGACAACAAAAATTGTAACACACTTGGTCTTGCCGAACTTGGCAGAATGTGTTCTCCCGGATCCTCGTGTGCTATTGTCCAGGACAATGGATTGTCAGCTGCATTCACCATCGCTCATGAAATTGGTCACGTGTGAGTGTAGCTTTTTTAAAGCACCCGTTTGACAACATTCCAGTCCATAATAGTCGTTCGCTTTCGAATCTTTTGTGTACAGCCAGAATTACATGTGCGTACGATGTTCAAACGCCTACACTCAGCAAAATTCATCTAGCCAATGTCCCTCTTATTCCCGTCTGACAATTACAAGACTGATTACAAATTGCGAATAAATATTCTGACATTAGAAAACACGCAACAACACCGCGACTTCACTCTCTGAAAGAATAGACAATTTCTAATGAAACATTCGACAGAGTTCAAACTTGTCTTCCGCATTAATTTCATAATTAAATTCAAATTAAATTAAATCTACTTAATAACAAGATAATTAATTGAATTCACAAAAGTTAATCATTTTACAAGTTAAATATGAATTAATATTTGCTTGCTTGATTTTTGAAATCACAGATGAAAACTCAGACCGAACACCAAGAAAATAGAATTTTAATTATATCTAAAATTAAAAATACAAATTTTCAACTTTTAAAAAATTTGGAATTACTTTCAGATTCAATATGCCACACGACGATGATAGTAGATGTGCAAGATTTAGAAATATGTCGGGTAAATCTGAAACCTACAATGTCATGTCTCGAATGATGGATGACAATTCTTATCCATGGGAATGGTCCAAATGTTCACGTCATTACATTACTGAATATCTCGAGTGAGTTACTTTCTATTAAATGTTAATTTCACAATTTACATTACATTTTAAATTGCATAATTTACATTTTACTTGTTTCCATATCTTAAAATTCAATGTCAATATCTAAACGAAGTATTAAAGGAAGGTGGAATTTTTACCATCGCTATTTTTATATTCGCTTCTTTATATAATAATTTACTATAAACTCGATTTTTGAAAAATTAATTTTCAACAGTGTAGTAAAAATAATTTAAGTTTTAAAAATAGTCATCCCTGTAGACAAACATTTTGAATCATCTAAAATTTCTCTTCTTAATTAAATATTCATAAAAATGAATAATAATTAAATATTCAAAAAAAAAAAAATAATTAAATAAAATCATAAAAATTAATAATCAAATAAATTCATAAAATTCTAAAAAAACTGAAATTAATTGAAAATTGCCTTTGGGAAACACGAGAAATGAATGCTTAGTTGAAGATACATTCTTTTACAGCGCAGGATATGCACAATGTTTACTGGACGAGCCGAGTAAAGCGATGTCAAAGTGGAGCATTAATCGTTTTCCTGGCGAAGTTTTTACCGGAGATGAACAATGCGAATTAATTTTTGGAACTGGTGCAAAACTCTGCTCCCACGAGCCCAAAGATGGTAAGGAATGTCTTTTCCTTTCGATTAATAGTTTTTAAATATCAAAAATTCAAACAAAGTTACCACAAAAAATTGATTTCGACTTTTTCCTATTTCCAGGCAGAATTTAAATTTTTTCCTCTAACTTCTAGAAAAAATTTAAGAATAGGTCAATAATAATCAGAAATTGTTTTTAAAAGCAAAAATTTAATATAAAGTTTTAAGAGTGTCTCTCTATTTTTTAAAAATAAAATCAGTTATACTGTGTCAAACTTTCCTGTATTATTATTTCCAATATTATCAATTACTTGTTTATAAAAATTCAATAATCATTGGAATATTTTGTATTTGAATTCTAAAATATTTTAAAAATCTAATTATTTAGCATTTTAAATAAAATTTATCGCAACTTTATTTTATAAATACAATTTTATATTTAAATCTTTTTGAAATTAATTAAATAAAAATTTTAATTTTAACCTGTTTCAAAATTAAATTATTTTAAATGCAATTGGGATTTTTTAATGCTGCTTTTTACACTAACAAACACAGAATGATTATTATTTTAATTCAGTTTTTTAAAGATATTTAAATTTTGTGAAATTGATTTGAAAATAATTAAATTTGTTACAAAATTTAATTAGAAATTTTTAAAAATCAAATTTTCGAAGAAAATTTAATAAGTGATACAAAAAATTTGTAATTTCTATAATTCAATTTTTAATCAATTATTAAATTGAAATTCTTTGAAAATTTTATATTTTTTAAATTTTAAATGAAATTCTTCAACGAATTTATTTATTTTCAATTAAATTTCAAAGAATTTAATTTAATTTAATAATCTACAATTAATATTCTCTTTATTCTGGTAATCTCTTCGCAGTTTAAAGTTAGTTGTTGTTTGATTTTTTTTCCTAACATTTTTAATAATTTTTCGATTTTTCTTTTTAAAAATGTTTTAAATTTTAAAATTAATGTAATTTGAAAATCATTGAATTCTTGCAAAGAATTTCATAAAAATATTTTAAAATAATTGAATTTTTGCTAAGAAATTTATAAACATTTTTGAAATTCATAATTAAATTTCTTTGAAGAATTTCTTCGAATTTTTCTAAAATAATGGAGTGTCTTTAATAGTTTTAATTATTAGAAAAAAAAATTGAATTAATATTGAAACAAATTTTTTTCAACTTTTTAAAATATTTATGTCAGTTAAAAATTGTAATGAAAAATTTGATTATTGGATTCTATTAAAATTGTATTCAAAATAATTGAATCCCCGAGAAGAATTTTATTATTTCCAAAACTTTTAGTTTAAAAGCTTTTACAATTTAACTATTTCCAAAAGTTTCAACAGCTTTTAACTAAAATTTTAAAGAATTGAAATAATTCAAGAAGAGTTTATGTATTTGAAAACTTTTTTCGATACAAAAACAAGAATATTTTCGTCCTAATTCTAGAAATTTGATATTTTTCCAGTATTTGAATTTTTGTTAAAATTCTCCTGACAATTCCCTGATCATTTGTTTCATTTTCTCTCCGACTTCCCTGATTCCCCTGAACTGTGGCAACTCTGTTGGAATTAATTTAACTTAAAAAAATCAAATTTTGAATTTAAAATTACATATTTGAAATTCGCATTTGAGAGATAATTTTGTAAATTCGAATTTCCTCGTTCAATTAAGAAAGTTGAAAAGATGTAATTTCGTTGACCGTATTTGTTACTGGCCAGGCAGTGTGCAAGAGATTATGGTGTACCGCTCCGCTCTATGATACAACGGAAGACTGTCACACGCAACACATGCCTTGGGCTGATGGAACAAATTGCGGTGAAAATAAATGGTGTCATCGTGGCGAGTGTGTCTCTCGTCAGAATCTAAGGCCCATTGACGGCCAATGGGGTAATTGGGGAGATTATGGAGATTGCTCACGCACATGCGGCGGTGGAATTAAGAAAAAATTTCGCGAATGCAACAATCCATCGCCACAGAATGGAGGGAATTACTGTATTGGCGAACGTGTTAAATATAAAAATTGTAGCACCAAAGAATGTTCAACAGAAACTCCTGATTTTCGGTGAGGATCAATTTTTTTTCTCTCTCGAAAATTTTACTCTCAATCGCCAAAAACAAAATTTATATGAAAAGTTATTTTTGGAAAAAATTAATAAATTTGAGTGAACTTTTTTCCAAAAATAACTTTTCAGAAAGATAAGCTTTAATTCATAAAAATAATATTTTAAATTGGAAATTTTAGAGAAGAACAATGTGCGGCGTTCAATAATGACAACTTGGATATTCGAAATCTTCCCCGAGACGTCACGTGGCATGCAAAATATACGAGGAGTAAGTTAAAAAATTTCTTTGTCAATTAAAATTTGCAATTCAAGAAGAAAAATTCTGAATCGTTTTTAATATGCACGGAGAAAAATATGGAGTATCTTTTACTATTTACAAAGTAAAACCAGAACTGTTTGAAACTTTTGCAATTTTCAAAGTCAATTTTGCTACGTTCGAAATAATTTTCACAAAAATCAACTTTTACTCTAAAAATTATAAAAATTGCCAAAAATGAGCAGAAGTTTCTGCTTCACTACGAAAATAGTAAAAGTTAATTCATTTAATCCATGGATTAAAATATCAAACCAGAGTCTGTGACATAAAATTTTTTCCTACGTCTAGTACTTCCGGAAGATAGATGTAAATTGTACTGTCAAGTGGAGAGTAATCAGTACTACATGCTGCGAGATAAGGTAATAGATGGAACGCCCTGTGGGCCAGATACCTTTCACATGTGTGTCAATGGACGTTGTTTGCCATCTGGCTGCGATCACATTCTAAATTCATCGGCGAAGATGGATTCATGCGGCGTTTGCAAGGGTGATAATTCATCCTGTCAGAGAATCACCGGCTCATTTAATTCCAGCTTTTATGGATACACCAGAGTCACGAAAATTCCAGCCGGCAGTAGCTTCATCGAAATCAAGCAACATGGTTGGGAAGGACTTCACAATGACTCCAATTATCTCGGTAATGGATTCTTCATTCTAAATTCAAAACATAAAAATCAATTAGTGTCTCAATTCAAACATTATAATCAATTACAATTAGTACTTATTTTTGAGCTTTTAGATTTAATTCGAAACGGATGATTTACAATAGTTCTGAACGTTCAAATTCAGAAATTAAAAAGTAAATAAGTAAATAAAATTTTTGAAACCGTATAAAGGCCTCGTAAAAATTATTACTGAAAATAAATTTTTTTTGTTGATATATTTTCAAAAATTATGTACTGTAAATATAAATTAAAGAATTAAATAAAACATTAATTTAGAGACAATAATTTATTTCTCTTATACGTGACGCAATATTATTGTAATAAAAATTTAATTAAAAAAAAGTTCCCTTAATCTGAACGTTCAGAACTTAAACTTTTGAAATTGATTGAGTTTCAGGCGCAAAAAAAATCGTTTTAGAGTTAAAAGTACAAAAAAAATTCGAAAAAGTAGTTTATTATTCAGAATATTATCATAAAAGATCGGTTTTCTATTTCTGACTTTTTTCTGAATTCCAGAAGATTTTTTAATTTTTTCCTCTGTTCCAATAACTTCAGTTTCTAAGTTTTTATAAAATTCAATTATTTTCAAACAATTTTTTCAAATTTTTTAACATTTTTCTCAAAAACAAGATTACTTTAAAAATTTATAATGAAATTTGTTTCGAATATAGAATTTATTTCAATAATAAAAATGCAATTATTTCTAAAAATTACAACTGTAATTCAACTAGAATTCAATTATTTTCTACAACTTTCAATTTTATTTAAGTATAATAATTTTTTAAAATAAGTAATCAAATATTCGAGTTTAATAAATTTAAAAAAAAGTTCACTTAAATTTCGTCAAGAACTTTTTTTTATTTCAATTCAATGTTACGAAATTTCGGTTATTCGAAAGTTTTTAATTAAAAATATATTCAAAAATTCAACTAATTTTTGTGTTAAATAAACTAAAATTTTTCAAAAGACAAAGTTCTTTAGAATTTTTAATTAAAGTTACTCAAAATTCAAATTTTTTAAAATTTTAATTTGAAACCATCTAAATTTGAATTATTTTTAAAAATAGCTACAAAATTCTTTTCTGAATCAATTATTTTTAATAATTTTTAAAAAGTCGTTTGAAAATTCAATTATTCAGAAAAGAAAAAAAAAGTTTACTTAAATTGCTAATTAAAATTGAATTTTTTTTCAATTTAATAAAATTTTGATTATTTAAAAAATTTTCAATTATTAATTTTATATTAAAAAATTCAACTAATTTCAGCAAGATTTTCATTTGAAGATTATTTGATTTCGCAATTTTAGAAAATTAAATAATTTTTGCATTTTTTTTCAAATTTACATTAAAATTTGTGAAAATTCAATTATTTACACTAATTTTTTTTGAAATATTAATTAAAATTCTTTAAAATTAAATTCTTTTCCCCAATTTTTTTTTTTAATTTTCATTTAAAGATTTTTTATTAATATTTTTTAAAATTCAATTATTTTTCCCAATTTTCTTTTTAAAATTTTCATTTGAAGATTTTTCATTAAAATTTTTGAAAATTCAATTATTTTCAAAGTTTGCAATTAGAATACTTCAAAACTTGATTTTTAAAAATGAAATACATAGTTAAAAAAAATCAATAATTTTTAATAGAATTTTGAAAAATTTCAATTATTATCAAATGATTTGACTGTAGTTCTTTATTATTCACACCACGAAATTCGAAATAAGTTGCATTTTATACAAAAAAAAAGTGATTTTTTGTTGCAAAAAAAATCGAAAAAGTCCATACTATTCGATGCCTGAAAACGGATTTTCTTTTTTCTACAATTGAATTGAATTTTTAATCTAAATTTAAATTTTCAAAATTTCAAGCTTGAATACGTAAAAAAACATAAAATTTCCTTTTGCAGTATTACGCTATGCCGATCGTGAGGAATACATTCTAAATGGAAAATTCATGGTTATGAATCGAAGAGTAATCAGACGACCGGAAATGACGATCGAATACAGTGGACCTGAAGCAATAATTGAGCGCCTCAATAGTTCGAGACCAATTAAAGTTGACCTAATTTTAGAGGTATAGATTCGCATTTAAAAAAAATCTATTTTTCCTCTCGAAATCACTTCCTTGCTAATTAATCTATTTAATCTACAGGTGCTTTCTGTGGGAAAAATATCTCCGCCTCAGATTACTTACGAATACACAGTTCCAAAGAAGGTCCTAGAACGATACACATGGATTCTCAGCGGCTGGTCTCCATGTACCTTGAGTTGTCAAGGAATGAAATATCGACGCGCCGAATGCAGAGGAACTGAGCACAAAGACGTCGTTCCCGATGGTTATTGTCGGGCAGAAAAACCCAGAGAAGAGAGTCAAATGTGCAATAATCACTGTCTCTTCCAGTGAGTATTTTTTTGTTCTGAAACGCAAAAAATTCGAATTAGTAAAAATTTGCATTCAATACGAAAAAATCGAATCAGTTTAGAAAATATTTAATTTAATTTTTTTTTAAAGTATATTATCAAAAAAATTTTTTTTTAATATACTACAATTAAAATTAAATGTATACCGAAATAAATTAATGAATCGTTTAGTAATAAAAGCAAACCCAAGGGCTTGCTTTAATTACCAAACGATTCATTAATTTATCAACACCATTAGGTTTGGCTTTAATTATCAAACGATAAATTTATTTCGATTCAGTAAAAAAAAAATCGAAAAATAATTTTTCAGATGGCAAGTAACGTCGAAATCGGAATGCTCGAGTCATTGTGGTAATGGAACGCGATCAGTCACCTCTCGTTGTGTTCACATTTTGCATATGAGTGATAAAAGTCAAGCGCGCCAACTGCCCGATTATATTTGCTCTCATTTGGAAAGGCCGAAGGAAAAAGAGCCGTGCATTGGATCGTGTCACGATCTTCGTTGGAATTATGGTGCATGGGGTGCATGTTCAGTGACATGCGGTGGTGGAATTCAAAGAAGGTCAGCGAACTGCATTGACTCCAAGGGCAGACCAGTACCTGATGAAAAATGCTCGACGCAGGAGAAAATAGTGACAAGTGTCTGTGGTCAAGAAACATGTCCCAGATGGGACTTTGGTGAATGGAGTCCGGTAATATTTATCAATTTTTATCCTTCATTTCTATTTTCATCCGACTTAAATCATTTTCATCAATTCATTTATCAATCACTCAATCAATCAATCTTCTTATCTCCGAGTCTTTGATTCGTAGTGATCTTTATCTTCATATTTTATAATAATTGTCTCGTGATTTTTCTAAATAAATAATTAAAGACGACCAAGTCTTGCAATAAAAATCCAAATCAAACATTTTTCGAGAGGAAAATAGAATAAATTCTTCTTTGCCTCGGAGTGATCGTTATCTTCATATTTTATAATAATTAAAGACGACCGAGTCTTAAAATAAAAATTCAAATCGAAAATTTTTCAAGAGATAAATAGAAAAAATTTACTTACTGAGAAGAAAATAGAAAAATTCGCTTATTAATTTACTATTTGCAGGTGAATTTTCAATTAGCAAATTTTTCTATTTTCTTCTCTAATTTATTCTCGGCAAAGTTAGAAAAAAAGGAGATACTTACTGAACAATTTTATTATTCTTTTCAGTGCTCGGCTACTTGTGGACTGGGAAAACAACAAAGGCCTTATTGGTGTCAGGTGGAAAATCGTGTGGTTCATGCAAATTATTGTAGCGGATCGCCTTCGCAAATCTCGAAAGTTTGTGATGCAGGTCCTTGTTATAAGTGGCATTCCACTGAATGGACACCGGTAATTGTTTTTTTCAAATCTAGAATAAAAAAGACTCAATTAAATTAATTATAAATCGAAAATTACAATTCTTTATTTATTATTTATTATCAAGAGACATTATTTATTCCTATTGTTCATATACGATTTTAGTGTTCAGTTTCCTGTGGTGAAGGAATTCGTAAACGAGAAGTAACGTGTAGAGATGGAAATAATATGGTTATGAAAAAGTTAAATTGTGAATTTACAAAACAACCGATGGATACTTCCAGTTGCGTCATGAATCTTTGCCCTACAGTTGTAAGTGTTAAATATTTTCTATTTTCTCCAGTAATTTCGAATAAAAATAAAAATTTATATTATTAATCGTTGTATTCCGGTAATCTGTTCGTAGTTTGTTTCTTTGTTTCGTAACTTTTTTAATAATTTTTCTTTCTAAATGTTTCAAATTTTTAAATTAATTTATTGAATGACATTGAAAATCATTGAATTCTTACTCTTTTTATCCTTGGAAGAAACGAAGTATTTATCAAAAGATTTGAAAATAATTGAATTCCTTTGAAGGATTTTAACAAAATTTTTGAATTCTTTCGAGAAAATTCTTCAAATTGGTTTAAAAATAATTGAATTTTCGCCAAGAATTTTAATATTTATGAAAATAATTGAATTTTCCCCAGGAATTTTATTACAATTTTGGAAAATAATTGAACTTGCGCCAAGAATTTTAATATTTACAAAAAATAATTGAATTTTCCCAAAGAATTTTATTGAAATTTTAGAAAATAATTTAATTTTTAGTAAAAATTCATTAAAATTTTTAAAATAATTATATATTTTTAAAGAATTTCTTGAAAATAATGTAATTTTTTTTTAATAATTTTAATCGAAAATTTTGAAAATAATTGAAATTTACAAAGAATTTAATCAAAATTTTTTAGAAAAATTTGAGTACAATTTTTAATAATAATTGGACTCGTTTTAAAAATTTTATTAAAATTGCATGGAAAATAATTGAATTCTTGAGAAGAACTTTATTATTTATAAAAATAATTGAAATTTACAAGGAAATACATTAAAATTTTTGAGAACTGAATTTTTTAGAAAAATTTCATTGCAATTTTTAAAAACAATTGAACTTGTTCTAGAAATTTTAATAAATTTGCATAGAAAATAATTGAATTCCTGAGAAGAACTGTATTATGTATTTATAAAAATAATTCAATTCTTACGAAGAATTTTATCATTTATTTATAAAAATAATTGAATTCTTGCAAAGAAGTTTAGTATTTTGCGGAAACTAATTGAATTTTATAAATAATTGAATTTTTTCAAAGGACTTTCATTATTTATGAAAAAATTGAATTCTTAAGGAGAATTTTATTAAAATTTTTTGAAAATAATGGAATTCCTGCGAAGAATTTAACTATTTATATAAATAATTGAATTCTTACAAAGTATACGTTTTCTAAATTCCAAATTTATGAAAAAAATTGAATTATTACGAAAAATTCCAATGAAATTTTTGAAAATAATAAACAAGAATAATTAATTAAATTTTTTAAAATAATTTTGAAATTAAAATTTCTAATTTTTTTATTTTTCATTTTTAATTTAAAATTCAATATAATTTTTAGCAAACTCTACCGTCTATTATTTCAACATTAAAATCTCCACTTGACGACCCATCGGAACATGATAACGACGTGAATCACGAAAGTGTTCCTTCTCACAAAATATACAAATGGCATTCGGAATCTGCCGACGAAGTGAGTAATAAGAAAATTGTCATTTTCCAAATGTTATAAAAATGAAATACAACAATTTTTTTTCAAAGGTATCACGAAGACGACACTGCAATATTTATCCGTGTCCTCTTTGGAGTACAGGAGAATGGAGTCAGGTAATTAACACTGAATTAAATTGTGAATTTCAAATTGAAATTGTAAATTTACAAAATCCACAATTAAAAGAAAATAAAATTGGAAAACTTCAAGTTTAAAGTTCAAATGTCCAAATAAGACGATGTTTAAATTAAAATTTCCAAAATTTAATTCAACAGTGTGATGTGGCTTGTGGCGAAGGATATCAGTATCGCCAAGTTCGATGTCGCAGTTCAAGAGGAACAATTTTACCAGACAAGGAGTGTGTAATAAAACAAAGACCTCGTCATTTGAGAAAATGTGAAAATCCACCGTGTAATCCATCGATGGACAATTCTTTCCATAGATGGCGAACATCAGACTGGAGTGCCGTAAGTTCAAAAAATTCAGCCATGAAACGATAAATTAAACATCTACATAATTTATTTAAACTTTTTTTTTGAGAGTATTTTTCACTTTTATCAAATTTTGACAAAAATATTCATTTTTCAAGTGTTCAACGGAATGTGGAGAAGGAATTCAAAGAAGAAATGTTACCTGCCATTTGGTCAATGCCTATGGATGGCTCGATTCAACACCAATTAACGAATGTCCCACAATTGAGAAACCAATTGATCAACAGTCATGCAAAATCAAGGATTGCGATTATTACTGGACAGCTGGCAACTGGAAGAAGGTGAGCCTCTAGAAAAAAAGGAATTTGAGGCAAATAATTTCATTCCTAAAATTCATTTCCAATAATATTGTAAAATTTAATATTTTACATAATAGGCAAATTTTTTAAATAAAAATCAATAATTCTGTCTAAAGAGAAAATAAAAATTTTTAATATTCCAACAGTGTAGTCATCAGTGTGGAAGGAAAGGGAGACAAGTGCGACGATTGTTTTGTCACAATAAAGACGGGAAAAAGGTGCCGAGATATAATTGTCCGATGAAATTAAAACCACCGCGAAAGAGAAAATGTAATCAACGTCGTTGTGGTCCAACATCGTGTATGGAAATGCAAAAACGATTCAGATCGACAAGAGATGGAGAGTACAATCTTATTATCGGTGGAAGAAATATGTCTATTTATTGTTACGACATGGTTGGTAGGGAGCCGAAAGAATATCTCACATTGCCTGCTGGGGATAAGGAGAATTTTGCCGAAATTTATGGCAAAAGGTAAGAAACGAATCAAAAAAGAATATAAAAACAAAATTGTTTCTACAAAGTAACTACAAAACAATTACTAAGCTACAAACTAAACTAGCAAACAAAAAAATTATTTTAAGTGTATTAAACACTTTTATCTATTTTTATCCAATTTTCTCCACTTTTAGATTACGAAATCCTCAGACTTGTCCCTTTGGTGGACAAAGAAATGAAAGTTGTCACTGTGTGACAGATCCAGGAACAATTGCTGGAATTACAGCATTCAAGCGAGTGCGAATAGATGTCAATAAATTGTATATCATAGGTAAAATAATATCACATTTCTTAAAATTGATCACTTATTTAAATTGTCATTGGACAAAAATTCTATTAATTTCGATTAAAATTGAAAATTTCGTGTAACGAAAATTCGATCGTACATAAAATCTACTAGAAAAAACATTATTTCAATATCTTCGACTAATATGAGTCAAATATTTTCAATAATAAACTTCAATAATAATATTAAGAATAAATTATTTAGATCTTATTTCACATTCTAATAAAATACGCAAAAATACTTTTTTTTAATTGGAGATTTTTTAAAATTCGGGACAAAAATCAACAAAAGTCAAAATTTTCTTTTGTACTTAAGGTTAATCTCCAAAAGCAAAAAAAACAACCATACAAAATTTGGTCTCGGAATTAAATTTATCTTATGTGCAGGCATTATTTTAAAAAACTGTAAACTAAATTTCGTCTGTAAATCAATTATTTTTATTAACTTTCTAAATATTCTTCAAGAATTCAATCAATATCAATACATTATAATAATCGTAAGTTTCCTTTCCGTTAGCAAATTATCTGCATTCATTTGTTTGTTTTGAAAATTAAATTTTGTGGGTTAAGTATTGGCATTTTATATATATTTTTTAATGTCAAACTTTTTAATGTGGAAAATTCTTAACTTATTAAATTGTCTCGACTCTTTGGTAAAAAATCTAACATTACCAAAATTCGAAAAATTTCAAAAATCCGTTTTTCTTAAAATTCAACATTTTTTCCTCCCTTTTATGGGATTTAGCTTCATTATTATTGTGATTTTAGAAAATACTTTACTTATTAAATTGTCTCGACTCTTTGGTAAAAAATCTAAAATTATCAAAAATTCGAAAAATTTCAAAAATCCGTTTTTCTTAAAATTCAACATTTTTTCCTCCCTTTTATGGGATTTAGCTTCATTATTTTTGTGCTTTTGAAAAATACTTTACTTATTAAATTGTCTCGACTCTTTGGTAAAAAATCTAAAATTATTAAAAATTCGAAAAAATTCAAAAATCCGATTTTCTTAAAATTCAACATTTTTTCTTCTCTTTTATGGGATTTAGCTTCATTATTTTTGTGCTCTTGGAAAATACTTTACTTATTTAATAGTCTCGACTCTTTGGTAAAAAATCTAAAATTATCGAAAATTATCAAAAATTCAAAAATCCGAATTTCTAAAAATTCAACATTTTTTCCTCTCTTTTATGGGATTTAGCTTCATTATTTTTGTGCTTTTAGAAAATACTTTACTTATTAAATTGTCTCAATTCTTTGGTAAAAAATCTAAAATTCGAAAAAATTCGAAAAAATTCAAAAATCCGATTTTCTTAAAATTCAACATTTTTTCTTCTCTTTTATAGGATTTAGCTTCATTATTATTGTGATTTTGGAAAATACTTTACTTATTAAATTGTCTCGACTCTTTGGTAAAAAATCTAAAATTATCAAAAATTCGAAAAATTTCAAAAATCCGTTTTTCTTAAAATTCAACATTTTTTCCTCCCTTTTATGGGATTTAGCTTCATTATTTTTGTGCTTTTGAAAAATACTTTACTTATTAAATTGTCTCGACTCTTTGGTAAAAAATCTAAAATTATTAAAAATTCGAAAAAATTCAAAAATCCGATTTTCTTAAAATTCAACATTTTTTCTTCTCTTTTATGGGATTTAGCTTCATTATTTTTGTGCTCTTGGAAAATACTTTACTTATTTAATAGTCTCGACCCTTTGGTAAAAAATCTAAAATTATCGAAAATTATCAAAAATTCAAAAATCCGAATTTCTAAAAATTCAACATTTTTTCCTCTCTTTTATGAGATTTAGCTTCATTATTTTTGTGCTTTTGGAAAATACTTTATTTATTAAATTGTCTCGACTCTTTGGTAAAAAAATCTAAAATTATCGAAAATTATCAAAAATTCAAAAATCCGAATTTCTAAAAATTCAACATTTTTTCCTCTCTTTTATGGGATTTAGCTTCATTATTTTTGTACTTTTGAAAAATACTTTATTTATTAAATTGTCTCGAATCTTTGGTAAAAAATCTAAAATTATCGAAAATTATCAAAAATTCAAAAATCCGAATTTCTTAAAATTCAACATTTTTTCCTCTGTTTTATGGGATTTAGCTTCATTATTTTTGTGATTTTGGAAAATACTTTACTTATTAAATTGTCTCGACTCTTTGGTAAAAAATCTAAAATTATCAAAAATTCGAAAAATTTCAAAAATCCGTTTTTCTTAAAATTCAACATTTTTTCCTCCCTTTTATGTGATTTAGCTTCATTATTTTTGTGCTTTTAGAAAATACTTTACTTATTAAATTGTCTCAATTCTTTGGTAAAAAATCTAAAATTCGAAAAAATTCGAAAAAATTCAAAAATCCGATTTTCTTAAAATTCAACATTTTTTCTTCTCTTTTATGGGATTTAGCTTCATTATTATTGTGATTTTAGAAAATACTTTACTTATTAAATTGTCTCGACTCTTTGGTAAAAAATCTAAAATTATCAAAAATTCGAAAAATTTCAAAAATCCGTTTTTCTTAAAATTCAACATTTTTTCCTCCCTTTTATGTGATTTAGCTTCATTATTTTTGTGCTTTTAGAAAATACTTTACTTATTAAATTGTCTCAATTCTTTGGTAAAAAATCTAAAATTCGAAAAAATTCGAAAAAATTCAAAAATCCGATTTTCTTAAAATTCAACATTTTTTCTTCTCTTTTATGGGATTTAGCTTCATTATTATTGTGATTTTAGAAAATACTTTACTTATTAAATTGTCTCGACTCTTTGGTAAAAAATCTAAAATTATCAAAAATTCGAAAAATTTCAAAAATCCGTTTTTCTTAAAATTCAACATTTTTTCCTCCCTTTTATGGGATTTAGCTTCATTATTTTTGTGCTTTTGAAAAATACTTTACTTATTAAATTGTCTCGACTCTTTGGTAAAAAATCTAAAATTATTAAAAATTCGAAAAAATTCAAAAATCCGATTTTCTTAAAATTCAACATTTTTTCTTCTCTTTTATGGGATTTAGCTTCATTATTTTTGTGCTCTTGGAAAATACTTTACTTATTTAATAGTCTCGACTCTTTGGTAAAAAATCTAAAATTATCGAAAATTATCAAAAATTCAAAAATCCGAATTTCTAAAAATTCAACATTTTTTCCTCTCTTTTATGGGATTTAGCTTCATTATTTTTGTGCTTTTAGAAAATACTTTACTTATTAAATTGTCTCAATTCTTTGGTAAAAAATCTAAAATTCGAAAAAATTCGAAAAAATTCAAAAATCCGATTTTCTTAAAATTCAACATTTTTTCTTCTCTTTTATAGGATTTAGCTTCATTATTATTGTGATTTTGGAAAATACTTTACTTATTAAATTGTCTCGACTCTTTGGTAAAAAATCTAAAATTATCAAAAATTCGAAAAATTTCAAAAATCCGTTTTTCTTAAAATTCAACATTTTTTCCTCCCTTTTATGGGATTTAGCTTCATTATTTTTGTGCTTTTGAAAAATACTTTACTTATTAAATTGTCTCGACTCTTTGGTAAAAAATCTAAAATTATTAAAAATTCGAAAAAATTCAAAAATCCGATTTTCTTAAAATTCAACATTTTTTCTTCTCTTTTATGGGATTTAGCTTCATTATTTTTGTGCTCTTGGAAAATACTTTACTTATTTAATAGTCTCGACCCTTTGGTAAAAAATCTAAAATTATCGAAAATTATCAAAAATTCAAAAATCCGAATTTCTAAAAATTCAACATTTTTTCCTCTCTTTTATGAGATTTAGCTTCATTATTTTTGTGCTTTTGGAAAATACTTTATTTATTAAATTGTCTCGACTCTTTGGTAAAAAAATCTAAAATTATCGAAAATTATCAAAAATTCAAAAATCCGAATTTCTAAAAATTCAACATTTTTTCCTCTCTTTTATGGGATTTAGCTTCATTATTTTTGTACTTTTGAAAAATACTTTATTTATTAAATTGTCTCGAATCTTTGGTAAAAAATCTAAAATTATCGAAAATTATCAAAAATTCAAAAATCCGAATTTCTTAAAATTCAACATTTTTTCCTCTGTTTTATGGGATTTAGCTTCATTATTTTTGTGATTTTGGAAAATACTTTACTTATTAAATTGTCTCGACTCTTTGGTAAAAAATCTAAAATTATCAAAAATTCGAAAAATTTCAAAAATCCGTTTTTCTTAAAATTCAACATTTTTTCCTCCCTTTTATGTGATTTAGCTTCATTATTTTTGTGCTTTTAGAAAATACTTTACTTATTAAATTGTCTCAATTCTTTGGTAAAAAATCTAAAATTCGAAAAAATTCAAAAATCCGATTTTCTTAAAATTCAACATTTTTTCTTCTCTTTTATGGGATTTAGCTTCATTATTATTGTGATTTTGGAAAATACTTTACTTATTAAATTGTCTCGACTCTTTGGTAAAAAATCTAAAATTATCAAAAATTCGAAAAATTTCAAAAATCCGTTTTTCTTAAAATTCAACATTTTTTCCTCTCTTTTATGGGATTTAGCTTCATTATTTTTGTGCTTTTGAAAAATACTTTACTTATTAAATTGTCTCGACTCTTTGGTAAAAAATCTAAAATTATCAAAAATTCGAAAAATTTCAAAAATCCGTTTTTCTTAAAATTCAACATTTTTTCCTCCCTTTTATGGGATTTAGCTTTATTATTTTTGTGCTTTTGAAAAATACTTTACTTATTAAATTGTCTCGACTCTTTGGTAAAAAATCTAAAATTATTAAAAATTCGAAAAAATTCAAAAATCCGATTTTCTTAAAATTCAACATTTTTTCTTCTCTTTTATGGGATTTAGCTTCATTATTTTTGTGCTCTTGGAAAATACTTTACTTATTTAATAGTCTCGACTCTTTGGTAAAAAATCTAAAATTATCGAAAATTATCAAAAATTCAAAAATCCGAATTTCTAAAAATTCAACATTTTTTCCTCTCTTTTATCG